ACTGGACTCATCCAGCTAAGATCTCTGGGAGATGCTGCTGCAGAGATTCCTTTACCAAGAAAACCGAGCACAGGCTAAGGATGACTGACAGGAGGTGCACATCAGATCTCAGTATGCTCAGGTTAAAATGATAGTTCGAAATAAGTAGACATACCCACAATTTTGACAAAAAAGCCTGGCACTCAAAGACCCCAAAGAACAGTGATTGTTCAAAGAGGCCAGTTCAGCACCAACTGGTATCTGGAAGAGTAAAGGCAAGTCCTCACTCGGTTCCTGAAATCATTTCGCTCACTTCAACCTAACCTGGTGTGGATACGCTTAGAGAAAAACCAACTGACATTAGTATTAACACCAAAGAAGGACTCCGAAGACACCAAATGAGGCTGTTAGGACCCCAACTCAATATGCCTGCTATCATGGCCCGCAGAGGCAAGAGGGAAAGTGTGTGAAACCTGAGCTAGGCAAGGAGAAGGCAATACTGAGGGAGCACTCCAGGTGGAAGAGACACTCATCAGGGAGGTCCTGGCTGGAAACCTGCATAGAGTTAAAAGGGAACAAAGACAGGAAGGTTTCCTGGTTTTGTATAAATATGCCGATTTCACACATGCTTCTCTGAAAATCTTTATGATTCTCTCCCCAGCCTGGACACTGGCCACTGTAAATAATGCTGGAAGATTCTGGTGCTTTCATGGCAAGATTACAGGGGACAGGAATCACATTTATCAAATATGTGAAGAGCTGTCATTGGAAGGAGGACTTTACTAATCTGAGAAAATCCCCAGGGCAGGACTAAGGTCAAAGTGTTTAAGATAAAGGGGTGCAGGTTTCATTTAAGAGGTGCTCTCGTGTCAGGATCTCACCCAAAATGGCACAGAGTCCCCAGCAGTGCTTAGCAGAAGCCTGAGGGAGCAAGTGGGCTTCAAAAGGAAGTATAGTTAGGTGAGCTGCTGGACTAGGTCTGCTCTATCCTTTGGCAGAGCTAATATTATATGCCTCAAGCTGCTCTCAACAACTTCAGGCCGCTGTAGAAATAACCCTTTTCCAATGTAATAAAGCCCTACTACTTACATTGAAAGCAGAAGCACGGTTGAGTATAGACTTTGAATGTTAGGTCTGGGGTTTACATTTCAGCTCTGACTTCTTACTAGCTGTGTGACCCCTGAGTGAGCCTCAGTGTTTTCATCTGTGAAACCAAAATAATGTCTTCTCATAGGATCATTAAGATAAAGAGAGAATGTGCCTTTTATAGTACTTGGCAAAGAGATGGGATTTGAAAGATGGTAATTATTGGCATCAAGGTGAAACCCTTAATTAGGTGCTAGAGGACCTAAACACTTATAACCCCATGAATTACTGTTTTAACAGACAGCATAGCTCAGGACAACCCCTGGGATGAGGGGTGCCCTAGAGGCACTGAGCAGTACCAAAGAGGAGGAAGCAGTGAAGAGCAAGAGCCATTACAAATCGGGAATGTTCAGTATACAAAACAGTTATCAATATGTATCTGCTTACTTTGATGAATAAGTCAAGAGGCTTCCATCCAAATAGAGAATACTCCAGAGATGTGAGTCAAACACATCAGGAGCATCACCCTTCTTAGAATAAGGTTTTGAAAGGGAGCTCTCAATCTTACTGAGAGTGATGGAGAAGGTAATCCAGAAGTCTATACCATGCAAGGTTTTAATTATTCATCATCAATACAATCTCAAGGAAGGACTTTCCATTTCTGGCCCAGGAAAGAGGCTGTTGGCCCTTTATAAAAGGTTACAAGCACCAGAGGTCTGCAATTTCAGACAAGCTTGGAGAAGGAAATGAGTACTACTGCTGGAGGAAAAGTCAGTGCTATCTCTGGCATCTGCACTTAAGCATCATCCTTTTAACTGTAAACACCTATAAAGCTGTCAGCATGTTACAATGAACAGCAAAATAATACCTGCTATCAGCAAACAAGTGGGGGTGTTTTTCCACTTAGATCTGCATATGGGGCAGGAGAGACTGCTCTCAGAGGAGTGCCTTTGCCAGGTATTTTTCTTTTAATGACAATAGAAACTACTGTCAACAACTAATAAGGAGAAAACTGAAGTTACTGATGAACTCAAGCACCCTGCTAATGGACATGGTGAACAGCAAAATAAAAACAACAAAAGGGGTTTTACAGTTTTCATCGCAATACCAAGGATGACTTGAAAACGGCTAAACATGAGTGCTGCCAAAATGCCCACCCAAACTCTTCCCTTAGAAAAGTATAAACACAGCCCTTTAATGGCGTTGGAAGAGCAATGATGAATCATAGTGATTTCATATTTTATTTATGTAGCATTTTTAAATGATACAATTATAGATATGGAGAACAGGTTAGCAGTTGCCAGGGGTTGTTCAGGAGGTGGAGAGGAAGAAGGTGGCTGTGGCTATAAGGACAGCATGAGAGATCCTTGTGTCCCATACCTTGACTGCAGTTAGTAACCACACGAAGTTACAGGTGACAATGTCACATGGAGACAGACAGACACACGCACACACACACACACGCAGTGTCTGCCAAACTCATAAACTCTGTACAATGTCTACAGATTCTATCAATGTCAACAACCAGGTCATAATATTGCAGGCGAGTATCCCTTATCCAAAACGCTTGAGATCAGAAGTGTCCGTTTGTTTTTCCAGATTTTGGAATATTTGCATTACATTTACTTGTTAAGTATTCCTAATCTGAAAATCTGAAGTCTGAAATTTGAAATGCTCTAAGGAGCATTTCATTTGAATGTCATGTTGGTGTTCAAAAAGTGTTGAATTTGGCGGCATTTTGGACTTCTGGATTACAGGTGTTCAACCTGTATACTACAGTTACGAAAGATGTCACCACTGAGGGAAACTGGGTGAAGAATACGAGACCGTGTTATATTATCTCTTACAACGGAACGTGAATTTAAAATTATTTCAAAAAGCTAAAAAACGATTTTTAAATGGAAAACTCTGTAAAACCTTAGCTCTTTGGGGAATGCAAAAAGTCCAAAGACACTTAGCATTTTTGTGGGGGACACATTTTTATGGCACAGATGGGCTAGCCCAATGTGAGCATTCAAATTGGTGCAGAGAAGTCACAGTTGTCTCATTACTCAATTTCTAAAAGGAAGGATCTGAATGGTAGGCAAGTGACTCATCTCAGCAATTTATACCTGTGGCTTTGATTCTTGGATCCGAAGGGCACAGACGTTTTGTGCACTATCATCACAACCACAGGCAAACTACTCAGTCTGCGGAGCAGTTTCAAAACCACAGGCTTCGCACCATGCAGCACATCTAACATGCAGATTGAAGTGTTACGGAAGTAAATCAGTGCCATATTAAAGGGACTTGGGCACTGTAGTGTTACCATTTAGTTTCCTATTTTGATAGTTACTGTGTACATATGTGGGGGGAGGTGCTGTTGTCTGGGTGGTAAGATTAGTTAGCAGTTAGGGACCCCCTTGTTCTAGTTGCAGTTCTGATGGGTGTATTTGAGATAAAGAATCTTTAAAATGAAAACTGATACACTTTGCCCATGGAATCCAGGAGTACATCAAAAGAGCTCCATGTATGATGAATGTGGAAAGGCAATGTATAATACATCACTGTTTTACTCTAAAAGAGGCCCCTTGGCAAATTTTTGTGAGAATGCGTAACACAGAATATGAGGGTGGGGAGGGAAAAAAATGCACTGAGAATTTGCAGAAGTTTTCTCTTCTTCCCAGTTTCTCGGATTTACAAGAAAGAACTGGCTAAGAAAAAAACTCATTGTAATTCTGTTTCATATAAATTCTCCAAGTTATACAACTTTCATTTTAGCACACATAGGTGGGAGGGCTACCAAAAGACAAGTCCCCTTGATTCGCTACTTTAGTCAAGGTCCCAAAGAGGCCTCTGTTCCAATTAATTATTGGTGACCAGGTAGGGTATTCACAAAACCCTTGCAGGAGCTTTTACATTATTTTAAAAACATATCTAAATGAATAAAGGCATTTGATTTTCTCATTTTGTTCACAATGGTTACTTCCAAATACAATTATATTCTGCTTTCTGTAACTATTTACCTTTCTGTACCCTTTTGCACTAAGAAAGCTTTGTATCAATGATATCTTTTCATCAACCTTTTTACTGTCTTGGGTAGCAAGCATCTATCTCCGCTTTAGATTTTCCTTCCTTCTCCGGCCTCTAGAGGATATCCTGGCAAATTTTTGTTTAAAAAATAGTGTGTATATATATACACACAATATAAAATTATGTATGTGTGCAAGTATGTATATGTGTATAGTGTGTATACTCAAACAGACGCACATACACTTCTAATGAGAGAGTGATCTCCACACAAAAGGGCTTCAGTAAAGATCATACAACATGAGTGTTAAAACACAATCTAAGCTATCTAATCCTAAAGTGGAAAATTTTAAATGAGAAAGTTTCTTCCTAATCATAATAACAAGACAACCAGCCTTGAGGGAGAAATCTCAACGTGACTCCAGTACGTTATTCTTCAAGACGAGAAGCTGCTGGGGTGGTTTAGGTTGCCAGAGGAAATAGAGTTTGAGATTTCAGATGGTGCCAGTAAACACTACTTAAAACCACTGTCTTACCTTTAATTAGGGGATAACCAAACACACACATCCACAGATGGAAAATCTGTGTAATCATGGGAGTTCCCTAGACCCAAATTTCAAATAGCAAGAGGACTGCTAGTTCATGACTGCTTTGCTCTTCCTAAGGAGGCTAACATCATGGTTCTCTAGAAAACTGTCTTTTTATTTGGATTTTGTATTCTGTGCACCAAAACACCGAGTCTGGTTCATGGGAAGAGCTTAGTAAATGGTTGTAAAATAAACATACGCTGCTGGGACAAAACAGGAACCACTACCGTGGTCAGAGAATATTGTAGATAGAGGGGTCTTCCATCAACCATGGTGTTATTAAAGTGCCAATTAGTTCCCTTGAAACACGAAAAAGAAAGTAAATTCAACTGGGCCTACCGTAGTGACAGCCGCGATGTGCTCCAGTGCCATGCCGTGCAGACACTCATCTCTGCTCTCGAGAAGAAGTTTCAGAGACGGAAGCAGGAGGGACTGGTTAAGCAGCAGCAGACACAGCTCCTTCACACCCTGAAACCACAGAGCAGGGGTGAGCGAGAACCCCAGGTTTCACCGGTACCGTTCTGGCTAGATCATTCCACCCTTTTCTACGGCAGCGCACGTGCGTGCGTGCGTGCGTGCGTACGTACGTGCGTGCGTGCGTGCGTGCGTGCGTGCGTGCGTGCGTGCGTGCGTGCGTGCATAGGTAACGCCACTTGAGACCGCACTGAATATACTGAATATGGGGTCTGGAACCCAGTTCCCTTGGTTCACAGTAAATTGTGTTCAGATTTCCAAGTTGTCAGATATTCACCTACAACACTTTTTTAATGGCTTTGTAATACTCATTGTACAGATATAGTGGTATAATTTACTTTCCTGAACTCTGACAGCCCTAGTTTCCTCATAAGTAAAATGTATGTATTTATAGCTCGTTTGTGGTTTTTGTTTTTGTGTGTGAGAGTTTGTATTGATGAATACAGCATACGATGTTCAGCATAGAGGGTTAATAATAATAAAAAGTATTATCAATTGTTAATATTGTTAACGACCTCTGGTTGTCATCCACTGAAACAAAGGAAATCAGTCAATAAAATATTTTAAAATGTGTCTATCATTCTAATGTCAAAATGAACTAACTCCTTAATATACGTAAGACAGTCTATCTTCACGAAAACTGTGTTGCAGAAAAATGAAAATGTGTTTGGATCTCCACAGATGTATCTGAATTTTATTCTCAGCCCTTTATTTTACTAACTGAAGCTGTCATCACAGAGCAGGCTTTCATATAGGGCAGCAAATAATCCTTTACAACAAAAGCATAAAAGAATAAGAATAAGATTTGCAAGCTGTTTTGCCCTGCTGAGCTGTGTTGCCATTTGGGTCCTGACTTTAGCTGTAACATAAAGAAGAGAACACTTTGGTCCAAAAACCAGACAATGAATGACTCTATTACAATAAAGCAAGGGCTGCTCTAAAGAACTGACAATCATTGGCCTCCATGGGACTGATTTTTCTCCTGTGCCATTCAGACAGCAGATCAGAGAAGAAAAACTCAAATTTACTATATTTTCAAAATTGCTTTATATTATAGAGCATCAATAAAGTAAGAGATGCAAATAAGCTCCTATTTAAAGCTCAGGATAAAGTTCTTTTTGGAATTCTGCTCATTATAGTTTTTTAGCTTTCACCCAGCACATCTCTTCTTGAAATCAGCAAGGCCCTCACATTTCAGAGTAGAAGACTGAGCTACACAAACCTGTGAGACAATGATCAGAAGCAGCAGGGTAGCAGTTTGTAAAATATATTCTTCAAACATTGAGAATTCTAATTCAAAAAAGTACTAAGTGTGCCTTCAAGAACACATGACACAGCGCAGTCTTTGCCAAAGAGAAATGCAGACTTATCACCTGTGATTTCAAAACCTGCAGAAGATATTTGGGAACATGAAACAAGCTCCTGAGGATGACAGTCTGGCCTGGCTGGCCACGTCCTGTGCTCCCCTCCGCCTCTCAGGTCACAGCACGCTCTCCACCTGTGTATCCCACACAGAGTGCTGTGCGGGGCCCCTTCTGACACAACCCACACATTCTGCATCTGCACTGCCCAATACCATAGCCACAAGGCACAAGCTACATTTGAGATGGGGCTGGTGCAATCAAGGAACTGCATTTTTAATTTTACTTAAAGGTTTTAATTTTAGTAAGCCACATGGGGCCAGTGGCTACCATATTAGGCAGTATGGCTGCTGGGTGCTGGACTCTCTCACATCTCCAGGTGTTTGCATATAGTTTAACCTTTGCTCTTCTCTGTCTGATTAATCCCGTACTTGCTCTTTAAGTCTCAGTTTTTAAATGCACAGAAACACCGTACTTCCTTTGCAAAAGCACCTTTGAATGTCGCAGGTTAGCACTCTATGTTCTAACTGTACTGTATAAATATTTCCTTCCTTATCTTTTACCTTGTATTCTGGTAGTCATTCATTGGTCTACCTGCCTTGCTTTGTGGGCAAGAATATTGTCCCTTCTCTGTATTCTCAACTTCCTTGGTACATGCCATTCCCAAAACTCCTTGTATATAACTCCCCCTCTGAATACACACTTGCTCACTCAATAAGTTATCAGTGATGAGTAAACAAGTATTTCTCAGTGATTTATGATATTTAGACTAAGTATAACACTTGGCTGACCTTGGCTTTCATGACAAATTGTATAGAATAACCTGTGTGCCCCTCTGAACAAGCATAATGGATAAATGGCACACAGTGAGGCAAGGACATCCAAGAATGGAGGAATCCACTTCAGGTGAGCTACTGACTACTTTTCATCTCTTAGCATCCAGTTATTGGCCAAGTACTTACTCTGTCTTTAAGTGCTAAATCCTCTACTATGTTTGTTCGCTATTTTCCCCCTGTGTTGCAAGAGGAAGTTTATTAAGAGATTTACAAAGGGATTTGAGGAACCACAAGAAAGGTCGAAGCGGCAGAGAAAACCACAAAACACCTCATTTGACATGCAGTTCAAAGCTGTCAGACCATCAGGACACAGAACAAGAGAGGCCTTGGATGGAGAGGATTAGGCGGGCCCAGGCTTAGAGCCAGACCACAAAACCAGGTGTTTGTTCTCCCTGTGGACTGGGATTTATGAAGATACACTGGGGCACTGTTCCCGTGGCCTGACAGTCATGAGAGAAGCAGGACCAGTTCACCAACACACCTTCTGTCCTCACATAATTCTCGTACTGTCCCTGGAGCATCTAGCATCAAAAAGTGTTGCAGGGCCTACAGCAGGAACTAGGGGTACAAGGTGTGCAGGGATTGGTGACGCAGAGACTGAGGGGCTTACTACATGCCCTGGGCATTGCATGGGGGCTGCAAGGCAGCTTGTAGTCCTTGCCCTCCAGCAGGCCTAGAACAGGCTGAGCTCCCATCGCTGCTGCCTGGATGTCCAGAGCCCCTGGCACTGCTGCTCCTGCAGCCCCAAGCTGATCACGATCTTGGCCAGCTGGGCCTCCACACTGGCCTCCATGCACTGCACCTGGACCAACTGGGCACTGTAGCAGCTTTGGTTTTGGGTCCTCCAGAGCCTCTGAAGTTGTGCAGGGCCTGCTGTCCGAACTCCAGGGCCCTCACCATACTCCTTGTCTAAGATCTCTACCTAGCAAGGCAGCTGCTCTGAGCTGAACATCATGGATTTGCTACATACTTTGTTTTAATGTGCATCATCTCATTTAATTTCTCCTCAAATCCTTTGAGAAGGGTGTGATCTTAGCCCTACTAATCACATTGGGAAAGCGGAGGTAAAAAGGTTAAATAATTTGAGTGTTATTGCATAACTTGTCTGATTCTAACAATCAAGCTCTTGACATTATCAAAAGTGGCTCAACCCTGATAGAGAACAATCACATTGAGATTTAGAAGCTGGAAATTATTAAGGCCCACTCACGAGCTGGGTGACTTAATTCCACACAATAGACCCAGAGCATCGGTGACTAATTCAAGCTGCGCCTCAGCGAAATCATGGACCTTCAGGGTCAGTCACAAATAGCTGAACCTTGGAATTTTAAAACTATAAATGCCAATAAACTGCTTTATGCCAGTTTCTTATTCTACCTACCCCAACTCTTGAGAATGCTTCATATACTACCACAGATACAAGCTGAGAAGGATACATAGCTTTTGAGATTGTGGGACATGGGACCTGTGATAAAGTCACTCATCCTGTTGATGATACTTTCTATCAGGAAAACCATCATGGCCGTAAGTAAGCACGTCCCAGGAGCAACAGCAGGCAGTCACAAAGGCATTCTAAGAAGTCATGAATTTTTTAAAAAGTCTTTAAGTATGGGAGCTTAGTGAAAAACAGGAAATGGAGATGAAAGAAAGATGAGTATTCTTAAGTACCCTGACATAAACAATTAGGCACACACGTCTCCTAAATCACGGAGTAGGGCAACCAAAGGGTACTGAATTTAGGAAAAAAACATAAGTAACATAGTTTTACCACTACAGTGACACAAAACATTGTAGACCTCTGAACGAAACTCTTCAACTTCCAAATGTAGTAAAATAAACTTAACAAGATGCTGCCACTTTTTAACAGTAATGTTTCTTCTTCTGTAACACTTTTAATTCACATTTGGGCACATTTAGCCATCAGGTAAAAACAGTACATACCATTTGCAAATTGCCTCTAATCACAGCATCCTCAGGAAAAAAATCATCGATGAATGTGCCCCATTGAGAGACAGAAACTGAAGTGGTTTAAGGAAAATGAAGGAAAGTCACTGTGACAAGAGAACTCCTTAAATGATTATCTTTTGTTTCATCAAACTAAACAGAGACATGATAATGACCTACTTTGCAGCAGGGTTTGACCCAGTCCCTCCTCTCTCAAACTAAGAGAATTACAGATTTATGAAAGGAAGTGAATTACGTGCTACGATGCTATGGATGAGGCAATACACAGAGAGCCTCAGCTCATTCTCCTTACAGAATAGACAGAACTAGTTTTCTCCCATCCAGTTTAACCTCTTCTTTCACAGACCAGAAAACAAAGATGCAGAGAGTTTGGTGATTTTCTCCTGTTCACATGGATGTGGCCCTGTTTGGAAGAGGAACAGCACAGCTTCGGGCATTATTAGAGCTCCTTCTGTTCTCTGTATGATGTTCCCTGCCCTTAAGGGGCTCCCAGTTCTAATGAAGTGGAGAGGCAGGAAATCCCTTTCCATGGTGTGGTATGAAGAGTGCTCTAATAGATGTGTGCTTTAGGTGCTGTGCTATCTTTTCTGATCTCTTAAAACACTTAGCAACATCAACCAGATGATTCTGAGATCAAATGAGACCACTACAAAGAAACTGAATGTATTACTCTATTCATCAAAGTACCAACCCCTGGCTGTAGAAGCTTATTATGGAGCTGAATCATCACAGCTAAACCAGAACTTTTCATTTAACCACCAAGTCATTTTCTGATAGGAAACAGAAAGCACAGCTTCTCACACATTCATCAATAAAAAGAACGCGCTTTTCTTCTATGTACGTAAAATTTAAATGGAATGTTGATGAGAATACTACTGCTGTGGACAGATATGTCTATTACCTATTCCCAGGCGGCTAAAAGATAATACACAACAAGTGGTCCCTGTAGGCTGTTTTGGCACCAGGGACTGGTTTTGTGGAAGAAAATTTTTCCACAGACTTGGGGTGGGGACAGTTTTAGTATGATTCAAGCACATGACATTTATTGTGCACTTTATTTCTATTATTATTACATTGTAACACATAACAAAATATTATACAACTCACCATAATATAGAATCAGTGGGAACCCTGAGCTTGTTTTCCTGCAACTAGATGGTCCCATGGAGGGGTGATGGGAGACAGTGACATATCATCAGGCATTAGATTCTCGTAAGGAGTGCACAACCTAAATCCCTCACATGTGCAGTTCACAATAGTGTTTGTGCTCCTATGAGAATCTAATGTCACCACTGATACGACAGTAGGTGGAGCTTAGACGGCAATGCAAGTGATGGGAGCAGCTGTAAATACAGACGAAGCTTCGCTCATCGCCAGCCACTCACCGCTTGCAGTGCAGTCTGGTACCTAACAGGCCATGGACTGATATCAGTCCTTGGCCTGGGGTTTGGGGACCCCCCAATATACATAACTGTTACTGAGCCCTGATTAACCAGCTGGTGAGATGATGTCAGGGTCAGGGATGCCGTGTGCATGTCATAGCCAATTTACATTCCTCACCTTGCAAAAGTTATAGTAAAACCAAACCAACAAGGATGTTTTAAAGACCAAATCAACTTCTTTAGACAACGACAGAGATCCTAACAACCTTATGTCTTAATAAACACTGATCATCTAGATGCTAAATTCTGTAGGCCATTCTTGAAGGAAGTATTGAAAAGGAAAAACTGACAAGAACACTTATAGAAGTGCATAAGAGACATTCAATGTTCATATTTATCCCAACTGTCGTAGGAATGGCTCCTCTGGAAGGATTCCTTTTTCAAGCTTTCAAGCACAGAGAGTTGATTTGAAGATCAGATCCACCATTCAATGCCTGAGGAAGCAGGAGCAAGAACCTGACCTCAAACCCTCCAATCCATCAGCTGTCAAATGGAGATAATGAATCTCCTTACAGGAGCTGGTGAAGGTTAAAGAAGGAACTATAAATGAAAGCCCAAGAGTGCTGGCAAATGTTCATTATCACCATCACCACCCACGTTAGGTAGTAACAGGAGACCTTAAACAATGCTTTCCCAACCTAGATTTGACAGAACTGACAGTAAAACACTGCTGGTCTTTGGTCCTCATCTAACAATGCTTTATCTTAGCTTATATTCAAGCAAAGGTGAATCTCATGTTAATTACATGTTGCTTACCTTGGTGGGGATAATGGAGTGCACTGAGTCCCCACACTAGGCAGTGGGCTGAATCCTGCCCTGGGTGACATAGACATGATACAGCCATGGTTTCGCCTCTCCAGGTGCCCACAATGTAGCAGAGCAGATCATGGGTTCATAAGTAGCTGATACAAGCAGACCTTAGTCCATAGCCCAAATCACCCTCTACTAGAGTAAGGGGAGGTAATTTTCAGTGTTGGTACTTTATTTTGTAGAATAATTGTGTCATTCTGGTAGTTGGAAGGCTTTTTTAAATAGATAAAATATTTTAAAATTCAATAAAAAAACATATCCAAGCCCTCATTCAGAAAACAATTCATTAAATGTGCATTCATGAGAATATTTTCCTTGAGTGATTACAATAATGCTTCAAGGATCATATTTACAAATTTATTTTCAAGTTTATCTCCTACGTAGTAGGAATGCAAAATCAATTTAATGCCATTATCCAAATGCTTAAATTTAAGACATATAAATTATTCAAACAATGTACTGCTGAGGTGGGATCCAAACAGGGAGCTGAAATTAGTATATGCTTACTTCAGAATGTTCTCCCTCTTTCTCTACACACACACACACACACACACACACACACACACACACACACACACGTGTGTGGGGTATATATATACGTTTATGTGTCTGTGTGTATATATACATATGATAAATACCCCTGTGACAGTCAAACCATGGGATCAAATAGAGAACAAAGGTCAAAAAGGGGCTGCCTGAGTTTTGATCGTGCTTTGCAAAGAATAAAATATTATGATTATGTAATCTCATTATAATGATGTCAAAAAGGATGTAAAATTCAGAGTGGCTGGTTACCTGCTGAGAAGCGTGTTCAAGTTTACTACTGCTTTACCAACTGGCCTGGTTCAGACACATAATGCACGAGCTACCATGGCCACTTGGAACATAAACTTGAGTTTGACAAAAGAGAACATCTAGAAGAAACTGAAAACTGGGTTACACTCTGGGACTTGTACAGTAAGCACTGGTCCCGAGCTCCCACAAAAAGAATGCAGCCTCAAAGCATCCTTTCAGCATTGCTTTTCTTCATCTGATCCATTAGAAATTATGGCCTTTACCAGTAATTACTTAAGTTAAATGTTCCCAAGTCCAGTCACCAGGGTTGCTTATAATAAAGAGTTCTGATAAGGAAAGGGCTACTCCTCAGGAAAGCACTCAAAATATCCACTCACCTCTGCAGGCAGCATCTGCTTGGTGTTATACAAAGAGCGACACATTTTCAAAATTTCATTCCCCAATCCTTCCTTGTTCTCCATTGTACATCTGGTTAGCATCATGGTAGCCAGTCTCACCCATGGATTATCGGTTATGCTAGTGTTCATGGAGAAAAATACAAGGCATTGGAAATGACTAAAGCAATCATAATTGTGATAAATTTTAAAACAGAAGTGACACGCTTATGGTAAAATACAATCAAAATCTAGGTGACTGATGCTTCAAGTCAACCTTGCAGAAAAGAAAACACCTTAAGGAGAAAAAACAGCTCCCTGTGGCATCAGCAAGCAGGCCAGCAGCACAGAGGTAGTGAGCAGCACTGAAACAGCACAGGCTTTGCAGCCAGACAGACACGGGCTCAAACTGTGGTTACTTGGGTCCTCAGCGAAGTTACTGAATACTTTTGCCTAGCTGTATGGTTCTGGGGAAGTCACCCTTGTGGGCCTCAGTTTTTTCACTGTGCAAAGCTATGTAATGTCTTTTTTTCTTCCTTGAATAGTTGCTTCAATGAATGATGTGTGTAACTGTGAAAATCAGTGTTAATAGCAAGCACACATGACTATTTACTACATCAATACTGCCTCTTGTTGATATTATTATTATTGTTATTGTTATCATAACGGGGTCAGGGCAGGATTAAGTTACAATCAGGGTCCTGCATAGCAGAGGTCAGCTGGGGAGCACAGCTTGAGGAAGCCACAGACAAGCAGCATCATATTTTGGGCTTCACGTTGTTTCCTTGTATTAGAAACAACAGCATACAAACGTTTGCTTTTCTTTCCCTCGTCTGACTGCCACTACCCTGTGTTTCATAGAAACATCACAATTTACATTTCTATTGACAAGTTGGTGGTAAATTCATTTCATGGCCCCAGCAGCAGGGTACTGATTTTACCTACATTAAGAAACAATTACTATTTATTAAGAGTCTCTTGGTTCATTAGCACAGCACTACATTCTAGACATTGAACAACCAGGGATGGTCTTGCCCTTGAAGGAATTTTATTCCTTGGGCCCTGAGATGAATTTCAAGTGCAACAGTAACAAGGGATCAAGTCCTTGGCAAAGCCTTTGTGTCTCAGCTCAAACTGACAATCTGTGAGGACAAAGAACACCGCTTATTTCGAGGTACCCACAGTTCTGTGAGAGTGCCTGATGTGCTGACGAGTCTTCCAATACTCAAGGACTTCCCCGTTTTCTCCTTTTGCAAAGTCTGACTTCAGCTCTCCTGGGTTTTTCTCTACAGTTTTTCTCACTGTAGGAGAAATGCTGGTTCACCAGCATGGTGAACTATGGGGCAACGAGGCTTGGATAACAAATTATCAAGATATGTTTTTTACCAGCCAGCTGTGACATGCTGGATGAAAATGAATCTTCCTTAAGAACATATACCTAGTATGTTTTCCATGCATTTTCCTACGAGGAACTAAAGCTAAAAAACCAAAGTTGTACTCGAAAATTACAGTCTTGTGGATAAGTTGTCACCGTTTTGTGTTGATGGGCAACATGCCGTCACTGTCACACTATCCTCCCTCTCCTCCACCCCCCACCCCATTTTTGGTGATTTATTTACCCAATTGGATTGTCTAAAAGAAAAAAAAAATTCAAAAGTACTTCTAAGAACCTGTTTATAAAGTATCTCATCATATATTCTCCAGAATATCTGACTTACTCTCTGCTTATCTCTTAGGTAGAGGAGACATGAATGACAGGAGGGGTGGGGGTGAGCAGACTGGGAAATGATTTGTTCTGATTCTAATGATTTAATAAAGAGTTTTATAAAACTCAGGTTAGCAATTTACAAATTCCATTTCATATGTGGCTACAAAAGAATATAACTTTAAAAATGAAGACTTTTGGTCTACAAACACAGTAAATGTTTTAAATGCCATAAATGTCTTAAGTAAAGCTGATTTGGGTTTTTGCGAATAAGTGAATGATTTTAAATGGTCAGTGTTCTGAAAGCAAGAAAAACTGGAAATTAATGTTAATCTACTAGAGGTGTCATATTTTGAACTGGGAAATGAGGGTATGAAGAAATCTACAATTCAACTCTACTAATTAATTTCCTTACAAACATATGGCATTAGTGGCAATCTGATCAGTGGGCATCACCCAGGAATTTGTTTAGAAGCAGATTTCCAGGTCTCAGTATGGAGAGCTGGATTCCACAAGTTAAGCAAAGGACCCAGGACCCTGCTTTGAATAAGCACCCTGAGCTGTGGAGGCACCCACACCATGATCGCTGGTACCAAACACAAGTGCACTGTGAACTAAAGGTGTTTATGATGTGAGAGCCTGCATTATGGATTTCAAATAGTGAAGGTCAAAACCTGTTCTTAAATACAAGTCAGCATGCCATCGCTGCCAAAGATGTAGAGATCTAAGAAACATTTCTTTTCTTTCTGAAAACACTTAGTTAAAAAAGTGCCACAAAGGCCGGGCATGGTGGCGCATGCCTGTAATCCCAGCACTTTGGGAGGTTGAGGAGGGCAGATCACCTGAGCTCAGGAGTTCAAGACAAGTCTGGCCAACATGGTGAAACCCTGTCTCTACTAAAAATAAGCCAGGTGTAGTGGCGGGCACCTGTAATCCCAGCTACTCAGGAGGCTGAGACAGGAGAATAGCTTGAGCCTGGGAGGTGGAGGGTATGGTGAGCTGAGATCGTGCCACTGCACTCCAGCCTGGGCAACAAGAGCAAAGTTAAGTCTCAAAAAAAAAGAACCCACAAAACCAAAGCACCACTCTCCTTGGTTTGCTTTGGAAATTCCTAACAGTCTCATGGAATATTTTCCAGATATTTGTTAGCAGTCCTAACTGCTCACAGGATATAGGACTTTATTTTCAGAAAAGCATCCTTCTTTAACCTCAGATGTTCACTGGCCTAGGGCAGAGTATGTCAGCTGAGCATGGGGAGAACAAGATCAGTCTGGGGCAAACAGGCACTTGCAGCAAGGGCACTGGTGCTCATATCATTTGCCAGTGAGAAGCCATAGCTCATGACAGCCAGCCCATGTGCTCAGAGGAAATCTGGCCACTTCCTCCGGAGGAAAGGGGTATGTTACGTGGCTGATAGCACAGGGACTGGCTAAGTACCCCATGCAGCTATGGGTGGCAGCTGCAAGCTCAGCGTGGCAGAGGAAACAACACAGGCTGTGAAGGCGGCCAGCAGTTGGTTAGAATTCTATCTCTTCCACTTATTAGCTGCGTGAATCCTGAAGGTGTTTAACTTCGGAGCCTCAATTCCTTCACGAATAAAATCAGATAACATCACCTTTACTTGTAGGTATGTTGTGTAAATGACTGATAATATATGTAAATTACACATGACGTTGTGTTCTCAATAAGTAGGAATTATTCATTTATTCCATTTGGATTCTCCACTTGGCACTGTACACTGTGTTAAGACAGTCAAGAAATTTCCACGTGAAAATACTGAAACTACATTGTTTGCATTGACATCATAAATCAGATATTATCAAGCATTGTCTGATACTTTTGAATAAAATATTAGAGTTCAGAGGCAAGGAAAAAACGAGAAGACTCTGCAATATTTCAAAAACAATTTAAAATTCCTCTAAAGGCAAACACTGATGACACACACACATATAATTATACTTTCATTGGCTCTTTTGAAGGTGCTATGTTTTTAGGGCTAAAGTCCAAATAAAAGAACTCTAGTTAGGCTAACTTTATTTTAATACTTACACATATTCACTTTTCATAGGGGGCCAAGCTTGTAAAAGTAAAACCAAGTGCTGAAATTCAGCCTCATGGTGGCTAGATTCCAGGAGCTCCATGAATAGACAGTAGCGGTTCTCTTCATTCTCGATGTCAGCTATGTCTACCTGGAAGAAGAAACACATATTTAAAGCTGGTGGCAAAGGCGGCTGAATTGGTCTATAGAAGAATTCTACTTTGATTATGTTGATTAAACTTTTTTGAAAAGTTTTTACAATGTGTTAAGATTCAACAACATCAGAAAAACAACCACCTCAAAAGCTCTATGCCTTACTCAATTTTAGATAATCATGTTAAAAATTGTTTAGAACTACAATCAGAGGAAGGTTCTAATTAGCTTTAACAAAATAAATTCAAACAAGTAGATGTCCATAGAACTGGCTTGTTGGCATTTAACATATTTTAAGAGACTGAATTGTTTTATTTGAAATTTAATGTTTCACCATCCTCAACATTAGGTGAATTTTTTACAGTTTAAATTATCCCAAATGAAATTCTAATTTTCATTAGAAAATTGCTAAACTTTTATGTTGTTTTGAAAATGTCTCTAATTTGAAATGTAAGATTTTACTAAAGTATATCTGTCATAAGACTTTTTTTTTGCTATAAATCAAAACAGAATAAAATATCCTTTATACCTCCATTTCTAATGCAAAAGTAGTCTCTGCCAAATACAAAACACCCCTTTGTCCTTTCATTGAATAACTAAATGGTTTTTCTTTTACACTGAGGCAGTCCTAAAACAAATTACATTTCCAATGTCTCTGTGGATGAAAATGTATGCTATTTTAGGTCAAAAACCAGTTTTAAGCATAAAAATAAGCCAAAGTCTGGTTCTCTCATTTTCTAGCCTCAGCATAGATTCTTTCAATTTAGGTACACAGACATTCATGATGATGAGTTCATAGTGATTTGGGTACACAGACATTCAGATGATAAAACCTTGAAAGGATAATGAGAATGAATGGTTACCTGTATACATGCTAAATTGTCTGCACTAATGCATGTTTCCAAAACATTTACTTTAATGGTCATTCTGGCTCTGATTCCAAGAAGCCATCTGAAAAGTCACACCATGAATTCTGTATTTTACAAAAGCTGGTATGTACTATGAAATTTTTGCTAATTGCTATGAGAAGCCTTGCTCTTACAGTGACCCACCAGATCCTTCAAAGCTTGCCTTAAAAGCCATGTCATTCTTCTATGGAATAATACCCCACAACCATTTTGTGTGTTTTTTAAAATAATTTCATAATACAGTCAGTTTACCCTTACAGTAGTTTTGTGCAGAGGACAGCACAGGTATTAGCAACCTCGGCTTTACAGATGAAGAAACAGGGCAATTACCCAGTGGCATGGCTAGCAAGTGACAGAGCCAACACATAGCTATAATCAGATCAGGATGTTCTGAAACCAGAGAATTCAATAAGCTAGATAAGCTTTTAATATTAAGGTTGGACCTTGAGTTGGGAGTTTGGCAATGATGCCTTGCCTATTTATAAAGAAACTTAAAAAAACAAAAAGAAAAACTCAAGACATCCATCCATCTGTAACTCTCTGACCTTACCACCTTCACCTCGTCTCTAGCCTCAGGGTCTCTTTGAGGTTCCTTTCATATCTCAAATCATGCACACTCCCATCTCAGGGACTCTGATCTGTTTCCTCTGCCAGATACCCTCTTCTTCCAGATATCCGAGTGACTCACTCCCTCCTCACTTTCAAGTTTCCCAAATGTCACCTAACAGTCAAGGCCTTGTTTAACTGCCTTACCTACAGGAGGACTGCTCCATGCCCGTCCATCTCCTTCAACCTGTTTCATTTTCCTTCTTAGCACTTACAACTACGTGACATGCTATATATTTACTTACTGCCTTTCTTCTTCCATAAGAAATGTTAGCTCCTTGAAAGAAGAGGCTATTTTTTTTTGTTCATTGGTCTATCTCCACTCTTTAAAATAATACCTGCTATTTAGTATATGCCTTAAAAGCCCCTGCCATTCTTCTATGGAATAATAGCCCACAACCATTTTGTGTTTTTTTTTTTAATAATTTCATAATACAGTAAGTACTTATTGAGTAAATAAACCAATGAATGGACAGACATATGAATGAATGAGTGAATGAACAATAATTTATCACTTATAAAATAATGTCATATAAATGATATTAAATACAAATGGAGTTGCCATAAATTTGTGGCTGGTTTCATTATTAGAGATTAATGTAAGATTTAAAAAGAAAATGATATCGAGAGAAATTACTATTAAATGAAAAAACAGGACAAAAGATGGCAGATTTGCTAACATTACATCTACATAAACGATACTTTGTGACTGTTAAGTGATTTCACTAAAGTACCTCTGTTTGGGCATCTGAAAAATGGGTTCCAAAAATGTTGACATCTCAGAAGTTTTGCTGGCCTTTTCTTCCTACAGCATAATCTCAGTGTCTACATGAGAGTTTATCTGCGGGAAAGGTTTGTGCTCTTAAGAAGTATTTAAAATCCATTGTATGAAATGTTTCCGACGTTCCTAGCAGTGTCAATATTCCAACTACCATAAATAAATGCAGTAAATGAATAACAGGTAGTTTTTCCTTTTTATTAAATATACACTTATATGGGTTATTTTCTGTATGTGATCCACTGTATGAAAAGGAAGAGATTAACAATAAAAAAATCATGCTTTCAATAGCATCTAAATTTACTCCTTTTCAAAAATTGTAATATACATTTTAAGGATATGAACTATATCATAAGGGAAGGAAAGAGAACAGAAACTATAACTTAAATGTTTATATTTGTTTTTATAATAGTGTGGAAATAGTTTCCATGTATAAAATGCATTTGATAATAAACTCTTTATTGTATGGCACCTTTCCCAAATGTACACAGTCTTTTGAAGAGTATGTCTTTGTCAGAAAATGTTTTCTTCTAATGTCCACTAATCATTGCAACTTTTAGTAACTTATTTTTCAGAGCCTTGACTCCCATATTTAAACCATAAGTGTGAAAAATACAGCAACTTACATAATTATCCATTTTGTGCATGCGTGCTTGCATACTCCACCATCTCAAAAAGGGTTTCAAGTCAAGTTACGCAGCTCTTAAGAAAGCAGTTTTAAATCTGCTACCACTCTAGCTGCAAGCTACCTTCTATGAGAGAACAAATTTGGCCTAAAAATGGACTTCAGCACATATTTTTTAAAAAGATGATAAAGAATATACTCGGTTAAATAATTGTTACCTACCTTGAAATATAACAATGTTAATTTAAGATAGTGTCCACATATTAAAATATCTAAAAAAAAGGAATGTCAATATTATCTACTTTATTACATCCTTAAGGTTTTTGCAATAAATTCTGGTGAATTTTGAAGAAGAAAACGGGCCTAAAAATAGACTTGAGCATATATTTTTTAAAAACATAATAAATAATATACTTGATTGGATAATCATTACATACTTTGATATATAATAACAAGTGCAAAACTAAGATTTGTGTCCACAAATTCAAAAGTTCAAAATGAAGTTTCATGAAAAGAAAAATAAAAGGTAAAGGACTCCCGGTCTGAACAACATGGCTTATGCACTTCTCCCTGCTCCTCTGCAAACCACAACTATCAACTACAGGAGTAATAACAGAGACCGTGAAGGGAAAATTCTGAAGAGTGGTAAAAAGAAAGGACACTAGCTTGGGGCTGCAAGCCTGAAGAACATGGTATTCAGATACCTTCTGTCTCCCCAGTCAAAAAAAAAAAAAGCCCATCCAGACCTAGTATTTCCCAACTCTGGACCTAGAAACAGAAAAGAGCTCAAGTCGGCTCATGTGCATTCAGAATCCCAGAAGAAAAGGAGAAAGAGGATGGAGCTAAAAGATATTATAAAACGTATCTAAAAACTTCCAAAATTTGGTAGAAGACACAAACCTACAGATTCAAGAAGTTAAATTATTCCCAAACAGGACAAACCGGAAGAAACTCATGCCAAGTTATACCTTAATTTGAAACTTGAAAATTAGGTAGAAAAGGAAAAATTTTGAAAGCAGATAGAACAACGTTACCTATCGGAGAATATTAACGTGAATAATAATGGGTTTATTATCCGAAACCATGGAGGCCAGAAGGAAGTGTAACAGTTTTTCAAATGCTGAAAAAAAAGAACTGTTAATTACAAATTCTTTATCTGGCAAAACTATTCTTGAGGAAAAAAAGAAAATGAAAACATTCTCAGACAAATTAAAAGAGCCTGCCACTAATAGCACTCATCTTAAATATTGGCTAAAGAAATTTCTTCAAACAGAAAGAAAATGATGAAAGAAAGAACTATGAAGTATCAGAGGAAGAACAAAAAGAACAAAAATATGGGTAAATACAATAGACTATTCCTTTCCGTATATTCTAAATCATATTTGATGATCAGAACAAAAATCATATATTATGTGATATTGAAGACAGTATTTAAAAGTGGGGAAGGTAAAGGGACCGACCCTAATACGGAAGTGAAATTTCCATATTACATGCCAAGGCCAGGATAACCACTCCTATCACTCCTGTTCAGCACCATACTGAAAGATCTAGCCACTACAATAACGTAAGAAAAAGAAATAAAAGACACAAAAATTGGAAGGAAAAAATAAAATTCTATCTGCACACAACGTGTCTATATAGAAAACTCCAAGAAATCAAACACCCTAAAACTAAGAAACAAGTCAGGAATGCATAGGATACAAGATCAACATACAAAAATCAATCACATTGTTATATACAAACAATAAATATGTGAAAACCAAAAATAAACATGTATCATTTATAATTGCTCCAAAGAAAATAAATTATTTACATGTATAGAATCTGCATCTGCCAATGGTTTGAATGTCTCTTCCAAAATTCATGTTGAAATTTAATTGCCACTGTGATAGGATTATGTGGTGAGATATTTAGGCGGTGATCAGGTAATGAGAGTGATGGCTCTGAATAGATTAAGGCTCAGCTAGGGACTGCGCTAGTTTTTCTGGGAATGGGTTCCTGATTAAAAAAAAAAAAAAGAGTTCCACCCTGCCCTCTATTGCTGGGTGAACAAAGTCATTCACAAAAGGTTACATACATACTGTCTGATTCCATTTATGTAACGTTTTTGATATGGCATTTTAGAAATGGAGGGAAGATTAATGGTTGCCAGGGGTTAGGGATGGGCTGGATGTGATTATAAAAGGGATCCTTATGTTGTTGGAACTACACAATATCTTTGTTAGAGTGGGTAGCTAGGCAGACATGATCAGAGTAGGAGCGGAAACAGACCCCACTCCCTTAACACCAAGAATGTCAGGTGACCATCAGGTGATGGTCAAGCGGTTGTTAAACAGTCTCACTAAAATAGTAATTGGTTGCTGCTGATACCAGGGAAAGGCAGTCACCCAGTAGATAGAAAACTGAGGCTGGTGATCAGCAGCTTCCTGATTAGATCTCAGGAGTTGGTTGAGCGGGCTAAAGCATGCATACTAAGAGGCCAAACGCTGGAGATGGTCTGTGACCATCTCCTAGGAACACTACACTGGTAAGAAAAGAATGCCTCTATTGAGTATGCATACAACTCCAGTAAACACACTGTGTCCACAGCCCCTCCTAAGGGCTGGCAAGCCATGGAGCATGTGTACAGCTTGTGCCAAAGAAAAATCAAAGGAGAGACACAAAACCCCAGAAGCATGCCAACGTATAAACCCCCAAGTCAAAGGTCAAGCAGGGTACTTGAATCTCTTAAGTTGTCTGCTTGGCTTTTTTCCAAGTGTACTTTACTTCCTTTCATTCTTGCTCTAAAACTTAATAAGCTCTCACTCATGATCAAAAATTTGCCTCAGTCTCTCTCTGCCTTATGCCCTTTGGATGAGTTCTTTAAAGAAGATAAGAACTGAGTTGCTGCAAAGCCATACGGACTTGCCATTGCTAGCATCTTGACTATGGTGCTGGCTACATGAACCTATACAGGTATGAAACCGTATAGCACTAAATTCATGCAAACGCACACAAATGAGTACAAGTAAAACTTGAAAATTCTGAATAAAATCAGCAAATTGTAATAATGTCGGTTGGATATTACACTGTAGTTTTGCAAAATGTTACCATTAGGGGAAACTAGGCAAAGTGCACAAGAGGTCTCTCTGTATTACTTCCTACAACTGGATATGAATCTATAATTATCTGAATAAAAATCTAAATTTTGAAAAGGACTATGAAAACGAATGCAATCAGAATAAACTTCACAGAGGAAAATGCTTATTCAAACAAAATGCAGAAAACAAACCAAATCATGATGTAAAAATAAAGATGAATACGAAGGATACAATTTGAGGGGGAAAAACCTGTACACAGTATGATATAATTTGTGTAAAGCATGCAGCAGAAAGATGCCTACATATATATTTAATAAAATGTTTACATTTGGATGACAGATCTGTTGGTGATTATCACTCTTGGCTTCCCTTTTGCAGTTTCCTTGGTTTAACATGCATTGTTTTCATAATTGGAGGTTTCTGTTTGTTTGTTTAAAGAAAGAAACATACACAAGAACCACAGGAAATTGGCATGCCTGTTTAACAGATGGGTCTGTATTTTGTGACTTACCCTTCCTTTATTAAACCATAAAATAGCTTTATAAATGATCAATTATAGCAAAAACAAAACAAAGATATAACACCAAACAAAATAAAATAAAAAATAGAGCTTTTCTAAATCTACTGACCACTAAGGATCCATTCACTGACCCCAATTTAAAGATAATAATAAGAAGGTTTGCTGGTAACGTAGGGCTGGCTAAGTTTGAATTTTAGTCAACAGTGTTATAAACAGGTCTCAAGGCTGTATATAAGAGCTCTCACAATTTAGTGGCTATTAGGTAGAACTGTACAGAGGCTTCTTCAGTGACCAAGTATAAACATATATTTTCCATAGCAAAAGTCATACAATCCTAGTTTTTCATTCCAACACTCATCTGCTTGCTCCCCCTCGCCACTTATTATAATACCTATGTATCCTGGTGTAAACAGCTTAGCCTAGGTCTGAGTTTCTTTATCTGTAAGATGTGCTAATGACATCTACTTCACAGGGTCATATTCATTCAATTCCACCAATATTTACTGAGCATCTACTTTTTGTACTAGAGATACAATGATCAGAAAGATGACCATTCAATTTGTGAGAATTAAGCAAGACAAAGCCTGATAAATTAGATATATAGATGATCCTCAGTTAATGATAAGATTATGTCTTCCAGTCCTATGAGGAGTCCTCTGTCTCATGCCACACGCCACTGAAAGGGAAATTCTAGCCCTCTCTTGTTACTCTCAGCTTCAGTTCTAAACATCTTGCCCCAATCTACTCCTTGTAATGGTACTTCCTCCCATTACTATGTCCTAACCTGTAACTTGTCCATTTGCCTATGTTGACCTACTCTGATATTAAGGACTTAATGTGTTCCTCTGACTACAACCATCTGCATTACCCTATCTCAAACATCCGTCTCAATTCAACTCAGCTTCTGGAATAAAAAAGTCAAATGCTCTCCATGTTCCCTTTTAGTTTTGCTGAAACTGCAAACTGTTTTGCATATGATTATGCAAATGAAGATATGATTCAAAGGGAGGGTCCTTTTCCATGAGAAGTAGATTATAGACCTTGGCAGTCTGGGCAAATCAGTTGTCTTCATATATAGTGAGACATATAAAAATGAACATATACAAAGTAGACATTTCTATTCTCTTCCTTTAAGTCATATAAAACCACAGGAAGAAAGTGTTATTTTCCTCTGCAAGCACAGTTAACTTGGATATTTAAGAAAGGGCCTTAGCTCTATAGTAAATATTTGGTAAATGAATGCTCATTTATACAGTTTCACAGGAATGTTTAAGGTATGCATATGTCATATTTTATCATCTCCATTTTAACACGAGTGCCTGACTCAGGTGGTAGTTAGAAGACGTTTATTGTAACACTTTCCATTTGATAAAGGTCTTAAGACACATATAGTTTACAGTGCTACAAGAAGAGAGAAGTTAACCTGCGATCAGGAAGTGGACAAGGTGGCACACGAGAAAGGATGTGAGGGAAGGGTAGCATTTGGACGTGTAGAGGTGAGGGGGAAAAAAGAAGACTGGGTAGAGATGAGGGGAGTCAACAGAGGGATGCTGAGTAGCAGTTTGTGGCTCATGAAGGTGAACTGTGGTTGAAGTGGCAAATGAAGCGTGCTGGGAAGACCGCACACTTGGGAACACTGTGAATGTTCCAAACGCAGAATATATTGACACCAGTTCCTCTGAGTTTTAGCTATAATTAAACCCTAATGGTCAGCAGGGAATATGGAGCAAAAGAAATGATCCACACACACTTCCTGCAAAATAGTACAATACAAATGGTAATGTTATCTACTTTTTTTCTCAAAGATAACTTTGGCCCACTGTATGTGCATACTACAGCTAATATTGCTCACTAAGAGTTAGAAAAATTAACCTTAAGTTGAAGAAACAACTATGTCATAAATCTAACAAATTATCTGCAAAAAATTAGAGAAGGAATTATTGTCTTACAAAAAATGAAACAAATGGGTCTCAGAGGCTTTCTGAAGTTGTGAGAACATGTGAGTAGTATGAATATCACAAAAAATTGAATTCTTTAAAATACTTGAAAATAAGGCACCTGGCTTAGCATGGATGTGGACCTAGAAAAGAATCAAATTCTCTCTCTTCTAGGAAGTAGTACAGTACCTATAAAATATATATGTTCCAAGCTTCTAAATATATTTAATGAAAGTGCAAAGAGTACAGGGAACTCACTTAAGTCTCCGGGTAGTTACAATGGGAAATTACTATCGAATATATTTTAACGTGGAAATTACAGGTAGTTATCAAATGCTTCAGCATATTTCACTACAGGAATTATAAATGATAAAAGGTAAATTTGATTAATACATGGCTTTCAAAAAGTGATGATAAAGCCAAAATAATACAGAAAAATGTTTATTTTGGAGACATTACTGACCTTTTTGAGGCTTGCTTTTTTTTTCCTCTTCCATAGAACAGAGATAACAAATACTTATATGATGGTTATAAATATTAAATAATGAGAATAAAGTAGCTGGCAAAGACTGACGCATAGTAGGCACACAATAAATGACAGGTATTACTTCTATTATCATCCACATAATGTGCCAAACATTAAAATCAAAAAGCTGTTATTTTTTTTTCCAAGGCAGGGTCTCACTCCATTACCCAAGCTGGAGTGCTGTGGCATGAATCAGGGCTCACTGTAGCCTGAACCTCCTGGGCTCAAGTGACCCCCTCCTCCCACCTCAGCCTCTCAAGTAGTTGAGACCACAGGCACATGCCACCAGGCCGGGCTAATTGTTTTATTTTTTATTGTAGAGATGGAGTCTCCCTATGTTGCTCAGGCTGCTCTTGAATTCCTGGGCTCAAGTAAGCCTCCTGCCTTGGCCTCCCAGAGTGCTGGGATTACAAGCATGAGCCACTGTGCCTGGCCAAGAGCTGAATACTTGCTCTGTCCCTTCTACTAAGAATTACACCTATAGACCAGACAGGACAGGAAAAGAAAACAGAGAAATATGTCTGTTTTAGAATAATAAAATTGTAGGTTGACTTTCATCTCTTTTTAAAATATCATTTACTATGGTATTTCAAATGACTCTTGAGCATGCCTTCCACAGATTAGTGAAAATAAACAAGATAAATTGCTATTTTTTTACTATATTTTCTTTTACTTTGTCCTTTTCTCCAGTGAACAAGAAATTAACATATACCTTTTTTAACATTTCTGCCCCTTCTACAGTAAGTGACAAAATCCTAGGGGTAAAAATGTCCCGTAGTTTACAGCCACCTACAAAAGTTAGTGATTATTTCATATTGATACTACTAACAAAATATCCTAGGATTTTAAAAAGCAAAATTCAAATGTGACTCAAACATAAGAATATTTTTTCCCTTTTGTCTCTGAAAGCACTGTTTCTCTCCTCACTGAATTAGGTGACTTTAGCCCTTGTTGTGTAAGTCAATTTGTCAAGTAGCTGCAGCCTTCTTATCAGACACAAAGTCACTATCCTTGAAAGAGTGAACTAAGTCACCCATTATCAGTAGAAGACAGTCTTAACCTTAAATTTCTCTGTGGCTCCCGGAAGTGAACAAAAATATCTTCAATTGAGGTACTTCTCAAATACGCATCTTCCTATAGGTATTGACAGTTGCTTATTTTATCTCTAGAAATTTACAAACATGATGTAGTTTTTAACACATTTAAAAGTACTTTAGAAAAGAATTACAAACATGAAGAGGATTATAACTGGCAGTAGTGATGACAGTAACCACCACATTCTTTTTTAAAAATGTTTTTTACTACTATTTTATTACTCTGGGTAGCTCACAGAATAGTAAACACCATACTCTTATCTTCCATAAGAATTGGTAAGCTGCTAGCCTGCTCCTAAGAGACTCATATAATGACGCTTGGTTTGAAGTTGCAAAATAAACTGTGCAATCCCTTTCATGAACACAATGAAGTCATATCGAGATGTCTTTGTATGCAGGCCTTCGAAAAACAAAAAACCCCAGCTTCAACAGATGCACAGAAATATCAAAAGGTGGCAGAGTTAACCTCTAGCAACCGACCTCTGCCTGTTAATGCCACTCCTTTGATAAGGTTTCAGGTGGCCAATACTGCCTGGTGTGTCTACTGGATTAAACTATTCTTTGCGGAAGGGAATTTTGAGAAGACCAAAACCAGTCATAAGCTGTTGACTACAAATATTCCCCACCAATCCAAGCAGTTCTTAGACCAGTGCCTGACACACAGCAAGTATTTAATAAACAGTATTATAACTATTAGTTAACTGTTTTTAATTATAGTCTGAATTATTACTATAAGAAAATAGAAATAGAATATATTCTATTTTTGTCCATTTCTGGATGTTTATGAATTTTATTAAATAGAAAATATCAACGTATGGAAAATAACTAAAGTTTAAACAGTAAAAGTATGGTGCTATTTTCTGCTTATTCTTGCATTTCTATAGAACTAAAAAATAGATGCAGATATGGCGATAATTTTCTAAATGCTTAACCTCATATAAAGCAAAATGTTTTGCTGAGACAGTCTGAAGGTCCAAACAATCTTCCCTAGCTCACGCAAGGGAGAGAAGATCTCCCGCATGGAAAGGGTGTCCTGGCCAGGAAAAAGAGATGAGAGTTTGAACTCTCCCACTTTTGGTTCTAGGTCTGGTCATGAGCAAAAACTTTTAGCTTCTGCTTCTCTTCAAAGGCAGAGTAGGAAAATGAGTGACTATTTATAAACTGCTTAAGAATAAATGGTTTCAATTGCCACAAAATGTCTTTCCTAGGGCACTGCAAACACACCCTTGGGATGGGGAGAAATCCGATGAAAGAACAGGAATCTAGGCTCCCAAGGAGTTTCCACACATTTGTGGGTAGGCAAACATATCTAAACACAAAGAGGCCAACAACTGCAATTCTGAACCATGCTTAACAGCACCCTACTTATTTTATGATACCTCTAAACATAGAGATTACACAATAAAACATGCTGTAATCACTCCCCATAAGTGCTGCTGTCACTTCAATATGTAATACGTATTTTTACATGACTAAATATAATAGTTTATGAAACACTTAAAAACACATAAGGGGAAATATTTTGTGCTAAAATAAGAAGAGGAAAGATGTTGCCTTACAAATTTTTTCTCTAGGACAAACAATCATATAGTGCCATGTGAGCCCTATAAATACATATGTGTTTATTTTAAACAGCTGCTATTGAAGCTAATTTTAAAGGCCATACTTTGGCTTTGAGTTAAACTTGATGAGGTTTTAATCAAATAATTCATACAGCTGAACATTTTTTCACTATATAGGCTAATTTGAATATACTCAGATTTGAATATTGGCCATGTCACTTAATAGTTGTGAAATCACATAAAAATACCTCTCTGAGAAGACACAACATATCAAAATCTCTGGGACACATTTAAAGCAGTATCTAGAGGAAAATATATAGCAATAAGTGCCCACATGAGAAGCAAGGAGAGATCAAAAATTGACACCCTATCGTCAAAACTGAAAGAGCTAGAGGAGCAAGATCAAAAAAACTCAAAGTCTAGCAGAAGACAAGAAATAGCTAACATCAGAGCAGAACTGAAGGAGATAGAGACACAAAAAACCCTTCAAAAAATCAATAAATCCAGGAGCTGGTTTTTTGAAAAGATCAACAAAATAGACAGACCACTAGCCAGATTAATAAAAAAGAAAAGAGAGAATAACCAAATTGATGCAATAAAAAACGATAAAGGGGATATCACCACAGATTCCACAGAAATTCAAACCATCATCAGAGATTATTACAAACAACTCTATGTACACAAACTAATAAACCTGGGAGAAATGGATAAATTCCTGGACACTTGCCTCCTGCCAAGCCTAAACCAGGAAGAAGCCGAAACCCTGAACAGACCCATAACAAGGTCTGAAGTTGAGGCAGCAATTAAGATCTTACCACCCAAAAAAAGCCCAGGTCCAGATGGGTTCACAGCTGAATTCTACCAGACATACAAAGAGGAGCTGGTACCATTTCTTCTGAAACTATTCCAAACAATACAAAAAGAGGGAATTCTTCCCAAATCATTTTATGAGACCAACATCATCCTGATTCCAAAACCCGGCAGAGACTCAACAAGAAAAGAAAACTTCAGGCCAATATCCATGATGAACATAGATGCAAAAATCTTCAATAAAATACTGACAAGCCGATTGCAACAGCACATCAAAAAGCTTATCCACCATGATCAAGTAGGCTTCATCCCGGGGATGCAAGGCTGGTTCAACATACGCAAGTCTATAAACGTAATTCACCACATAAACAGAACCAAAGACAAAAACCACATGATTATCTCAATTGATGCAGAGAAGGCCTTTGACAAAATTCAACAGCCCTTTATGCTAAAAACACTCAGTAAGCTAGGTATCAATGGAACGTATCTCAAAATAATAAAAGCTATTTATGACAAACCAACAGCCAATATCATACTGAATGGGCAAAAACTGGAAGCATTCCCCTTGAAATGTGGCACCAGACAAGGATGCCCACTCTCACCACTGCTATTCAATATAGTATTAGAAGTTCTAGCCAGAGCAATCAGGCAAGAAAAAGAAATAAAGGGCATTCAAATAGGAAAGGAGGAAGTCAAATTGTCTCTATTTGCAGACGACATGATTGTATATCTAGAAGACCCCATCGTCTCAGCCCTAAACCTCCTGAAACTGATAAGCAAGTTCAGCAAAGTCTCAGGATACAAAATCAATGTGCAAAAATCACATGCATTCCTATACACCAGTAACAGACTTAAAGAGAGCCAAATCAAGAACAAACTTCCATTCACAATTGCCACAAAGAGAATAAAATACCTAGGAATACAACTAACAAGGAATGTAAAGGACCTCTTCAAGGAGAACTACAAGCCACTGCTCAACGAAATAAGAGAGGACACAAACAGATGGAGAAACATCCCATGTTCATGGTTAGGAAGAATCAATATCGTGAAAATGGCCATACTGCCCAAAGTAATTTACAGATTCAATGCTATCCCCATCAAGCTACCAATGACCTTCTTTGCAGAACTGGAAAAAACCACCTTAAACTTCATATGGAACCAAAAGAGAGCCCGCATAGCCAAGTCAATTCTAAGCAAAAAGAACAAAGCGGGGGGCATCACACTACCAGACTTCAAACTATACTACAAGGCTACAGTAATCAAAACAGCATGGTACTGGTACCAAAACAGAGATATAGACCAATGGAACAGAACAGAGGTCTCGGAGGCAACACAACATATCTACAACCATCTGATCTTTGACAAACCAGTCAAAAACAAGCAATGGGGAAAGGATTCCCTGTTCAATAAATGGTGTTGGGAAAGCTGGCTAGCCATGTGCAGAAAGCAGAAACTGGACCCCTTCCTGACACCTTACACTAAAATTAACTCCAGATGGATTAAAGACTTAAACGTAAGACCTAACACCATAAAAACCCTAGAAGAAAATCTAGGCAAAACCATTCAGGACGTAGGTGTAGGCAAGGACTTCATGACCAAAACGCCAAACGCATTGACAACAAAAGCCAAAATAGACAAATGGGACCTAATCAAACTCCACAGCTTCTGCACAGCAAAAGAAACAATCATTAGAGTGAATCGGCAACCAACAGATTGGGAAAAAATTTTTGCAGTTTACCCATCTGACAAAGGGCTGATATCCGTAATTTACAAAGAACTAAAGCAGATTTACAAGAAAAAAACTAACAAGCCCATTCAAAAGTGGGCAAAAGATATGAACAGACACTTCTCAAAAGAAGACATACGTGAGGCCAACAAACATATGAAAAAACGCTCATCATCACTGGTCATCAGAGAAATGCAAATCAAAACTACACTGAGATACCATCTCACGCCGGTTAAAATGGCGATCATTAAAAAATCTGGAGACAACAGATGCTGGAGAGGATGTGGAGAAATAGGAACACTTTTGCACTGTTGGTGGGAGTGTAAATTAGTGCAACCATTGTGGAAGACAGTGTGGCGATTCCTCAAGGACCTAGAAATAGAAATTCCATTTGACCCAGCAATCCCATTACTGGGTATATATCCAAAGGATTACAAATCGTTCTACTATAAGGACACGTGTACACGAATGTTCATTGCAGCACTGTTTACAATAGCAAAGACCTGGAACCAACCCAAATGCCCATCGACGATAGACTGGATAGGGAAAATGTGGCACATATACACCATGGAATAGTATGCAGCCATCAGAAACGATGAGTTTGGGTCCTTTGTAGGGACATGGATGAACCTGGAAACCATCATTCTCAGCAAACTGACAGAAGAGCAGAAGATCAAACACCGCATGTTCTCACTCATAGGCGGGTGTTGAACAATGAGAACACATGGACACAGGGAGGGGAGCACTACACACTGGGGTCAGTTGGGGGGAAATAGGGGAGGGAGAGTGGGGGGTGGGAAGCTGGGGAGAGATAGCAAGGGGAGAAATGCCAGATGTAGGTGATGGGGAGGAAGGCAGCAAATCACACTGCCACGTGTGTTCCTATGCAACAATTTTGCATGTTCTTCACATGTACCCCAAAATGTAAAATGCAATAAAATAAATAAATGGGAAAAAATAAAAAAAATAAAATAAAATAAAAATAGAAATAAAAAAAATAAAAAAATAAAAAAATAAAAATACCTCTCTGAGCCTCAGTGCTTTCATGTGTAAAAATAAGGTAATAATGCCTAACTAGCAATTATCAGATTACTTTGAGAATAATATAGTATAGCATAACCTATGACATAATATACTATACCGTACAGATATACACATGCAGCTTTACAGGTATCTAACACTCAGCCTCTGTGGTAGTTACGAGTATGGATAGTTCAGTTGTATGTCACACTGCCATATGTCAGCATTGAGGTACTACACAAACTTCTTAAGCACTTTAGCCTATTTCCTTATGTGATGAATGGAGTGGTAAGGTCACCTATGTCACAGGGTTATTATAACGTTTACATGAAATGATACGCACATAAAGCCTAATGTTAAATGCATGGAAGGCCCTCAAAAACATGGAGCATGGAGCATCTTCACGGCTTAAGGGAAAAGAGATTTCTGTTGTCACTTCTAGAGTTCTAATTTTGACTCTAAGTTTTATTCCAGTTAGAAGTTATGCAGGGAGACTTTAGGGTAGCAGAAGAAACAGGCAACCAATGAATTCTGTCTACCTATATATTCTCCAAATATAAAACAGAATGACAAGAACAAACAAAACTACACAAAACCCACAAATTCAGCACAATTATAGATCAGGCATGCCCAAACTTCAAAACACCATGAGGAAAATAGAAAAAGTACTAAATCCCAGAGAATGAGCTAACATTCCATGTTAATATTTCACATATTCAAAAAAGAATACATGATATCAGTAAGAATAGGGTAAAGCATATAAACAGAAAAAAATGAACCTAACTGCAGTAATAAGTGAATAAGGTAATCATACTGAAGGTGGTACATCTCTCTGTGTGTGTGTGAGAGAGGAACTAAATGATTTTGGAAAATATAAGCCAGATAAGCCAGGGGCAATGGCTCATGTGTATAACACATCCAGCACTTTGGGATGTTGGGGCAGCAGGATTGCTTGAACCCAGAAGTCTGAGTCCAGTCTGGGCAACATCTCTAAAAAAACTATACAATTAGCCAGGCATGGTGGTGCATGCCTGTGGTCCCAGCGACCTGGAAGGCTGAAGAAAGAGAGTCGTTGAGCCAGGAGGATGAGGCTGCAGTGAGCCAAAATTGTGCAACTGCACTACAGCCTGCGCAATAGAGTGAGGCCCTTTCTAAAAAGAAAGAATAAAAGGGAAAAGGGAAAAGAAACGAAACGAAACGAAAAGAAAAGAAAAGAAAGAAAAAGAGAAAAGAAAAGAAAAGAAAACAATTTTTAGTACTATTAAGTCTAAAGAGAAAAAGAGCTCTACAAAAATATTGTATTCTACCCAGTAATTACAAAATTTATGTGTACTCCATGATTGAGCAAATATATACATATATTATGGATAATGACACCCAGGTTTCTTATTGACAGCAGAGCTTACACATAAGAAAAGGAAGGAGGCTAGAATAAACTCTGTGGCATTGGGTTGGCATTAGAAGTAGCAATATGAATTTACAGAACAGTAAGATATAAATAGAATAAAACAGTAAGTTAAAAAGCAGGGGAATGAAGTTAAGCTGTCCTTTTTATTCATTTTCACTTTGCTTGTTTCTTTGTTTCTGCAAACAATGTTAACTTATTATAAGCTTAAAACAATGAGTTATGACACAGTATTTGTAAGACTCACGATAACCTCAAATAAAAAAAGTACAACATATACACAAAAATAAAATGCAAGAAATTAAATCATACCACAAAAGAAAATCACCTTCATTAAAAGGAAGACAGAAAGAAGGAAGAGAAGGCAACAAAACAACCAGAAAACAAAACAAAACAAAACAAAAAAAACTGGCAGGGGTAACTCCTGACTTATCAATAATAACATTGAATGTAACTATACTAAACTATCCAATAAAAATAGTTGTTAAATAAATTTAAAAACAAAACAAAACAAAAAAACGAGACCCAGTGATCTGTTGCCAGAAACACACTTCACCTATAAAAACAACAAATACTGAATATAAAGGGAAAAAAAGATATTCCATGCCAATGAAAACCACAAAAGAGCAGGAGTTGGATTAGCTCTGTGTCCCCACTCAAATTGCATCTCAAATTATAATCCCCACATTTTGGGGGAGTGGTCTGGTGGCCTCATGGCAGGTGACTGAGTCATGGGGGCGGACTTCCCCTCTGCAGTTCTTGTCATATAGTTTTCATGAGATCTGGTTGTTTGATAAGTGTCTGGCATCTTCCACCCCCTCTCTCTCCTGCTGCCTTGTGTAGGTGCTTGCTTTTTCTTTACCTTCTGTCATGATTATAAGTTTCCTGAGGCCTCCCAGCCATGCAGAACTGTGAATCAATTAAACTTCTTTTCTTTATAAATTACCTAGTAGTAAGACCTACGTAGGTCTTTATAGCAGTGTGAAAATAGACTAATACAAAAAATAAGTACCGAGATAGTGGGGCAGTGATATAATGATACTTGAAAACGTGGAAGTGACTTTGGAACTGGGTAATGGGTAGAGGTTGGAACAGTTTGGAGGGTTCAAAAGAAGACAGAAAGATGTGGGAAAGTACAAAACTTTCTCGAGACTTGAATGCTTTTGGCCAAAATGCTGATAGTGATGTGGACAATGAAATCCAGGCTGAGGTGGTCTCAGATGGAGATCAGGAAGTTATTGGGAAAGGGAGTAAAGGTCACTCTTGCTATGCTTTAGAGATTTGTGGAACTCTGAGCTTGAAAGAGATAATTTAGGGAATCTGGCAGAAATTTATAAGCATAAGTATCCAAGATGTGACCTGGTTTTTTCCAAAAGTGTACACTCATATGCACAAAGAAAGAGATGGTCTGATATTGGAACTTATATTTAAAAGGGAAACGGAGCATAAAAGTTTGGAAAATTTGCAACCTGACCATGTGGTAGGAAAAAAAAAAAAAAAAAACTATCTGAGGAGAAATTCAAGCCAGCTGCAGAAACTTGCATAAACAAGAGAAGTAGCCAAATATTAATAGCCAAGATGATGGGGAAAATGTCTTCAGGGCACGTCAGAGATCTTCATGGCAGCCCTTCCAATCACAGACCCAGAGTCCCTAGGAGGGAAAAATTGTCCATGGGCCAGCCCCAGGGCCCAGCTGCTCTGTGCAGCCTTAGACATGGTGCCCTGCATTCCAGCGACTCCAGCTCCAGCTGTGGCTAAAAGGGGTCAATGTACAGCTCAGGTCATTGCTTCAGAGAGTGCAAGCCAAGCCCCAACCTTGGTGGCTTCTACATGGTCCTGGGCCTGCAGGTGTGCAGAAGATAAGAGTTGAGTTTTGGGAGCCTTTACCTAGATTTCAGAGGATGTGTGGAAATGCCTGGATATCCAGACAGAAGTTATACAAGTTTCTGCAGCTGGCTTGAATTTCTCCCCAGATCGTGGTTTTTTTTTCCTACCACATGGTCAGGTTGCAAATTTTCCAGGGGTGGGGACCTCATGGAAAACCTCTACTAGGGCAATGCAGAGAGGAAATGTGGGGTTGGGGCCCCTACACATAGTCCCCACTGGGGCACTGGCTCTAATGGAACTTTGAGAAGAGATCCACTATCCTCTAGATCTCAGAATGGTAATTTATCTACAGCTTGCGCTGTCAACCTGTAAAAGCCACAGGCAATCAATGCCAGCCTGTGAAAGCAGTCATGGAGGCTGTACCCTGCAGAGCCACAGGAGTGGAGCTGCCCATGGCTTGCGAGCCCACATCTTGCATCACCGGGCCCTGGATATTGGACATGGAGTCAAAGGAGATTATTCTGGAGCTTTAAGATTTAATGACTGCTCTGTTGCATTTCGAACTTGGATAGGGCCTGTAGCTCCTTTGTTTTGGCCAATTTCTCCCATTCGAAATGAGAACATTTACCCAATGCCTGTACCCCTACTGTGTCTTTGAAGTAACTAATTTGTTTTTTCATTTTACAGGCTCATAAGTGGAAAGGACTTGTCTTGCCTCAGATGAGACTCTGGGCCTGTGCTTTTCAGTTAAGGCTGGAATAATTTAAGTCTTTGGGGAACCATTGGGAAGGCATATCGGTTTCAAAACGTGAAAGAAACAAGAGATTTGGGGAGGGCTGAGATGGAATTATATGGTCTGGCTTTGCGTCCTCGCCCAAATCATACCTTGAATTGTAATTCCCATGCAGTGGAGTGGCTTGGTGGGAGGTGACTGAGTCTTCGAGGTGGACTTCCCCCTTGCTGTTCTTGTGACAGAGTTCTCTGAGAACTGGTTGTTTGATAAGTGTCTGGTGCTTCCTCCCATCCCCCGTCTCTCTCCTGCCACCTTGTGAAGAGGGTGTTTGCTTTTCATTTGCTTTCTGTCATGATTGTAAGTTTCCTGGGGCCTCCCCAGTCATGCAGAACTGTGAATTAATTAAACTTCTTTTCATTATAAATTACCTACTCTCAGGTAATTCTTTATAGCAGTGTGAAAATGGACTAATATAGTCACTAAAACAAAATTGATTACAAGACAAAAACTATAAGAATGAACAAAGAAGGCCACTATATTATGATAAAGGGGTCAATTCAGCAAAAATATTTTACAGTTTTAAATATATATGCACCCAATGCTGGAGCACCCAGATATATAAAGCAAATATTACTAGAGCTAAAGAAAGAAATAGGCCCTGTATTAGTCCGTTTTCACTCTGCTGATAAAGACATACCCATGACTGAATAATTTATAATGAAAAGAGGTTTAATGAACTCATACTTCCACACGCCTGGGAAGGCCTCATGATCATAATGGAAGGCAAAAGCCATGTCTTACATGGTGGCACGGAAGAGAGAAGGAAAACCATGAGAAAAGGGAAACCCCTTATTAAAAAAAAAAACAGATCTTGTGAGATTTAGTCACTACCACAAGAACAGTATGGGGGAAACCGTCCCATGATTCAATTACGTCCAACTGGGTCCCTCCCATAACACATGGGAATTATGGGAACTATAATTCAAGATGAGATTTGGGTGGGGACACAGCCAAACCATATCAGGCCCCAATACAATAATAGCTGGAGATTTCAACACCCAACTTTCAGCATTGGAGAGATTGCCCAGACAGAAAATCAACAAAGAAACACTGGACTTAATCTGTGCTGTAGATCAAATGGATGTAATAGGTATTTACAGAATATTTTCCCCAACAGCTGGAGAATATACTTCTTTTCCTCAGCACAAGGATAATTCTGAAGGATAGACCATATGTCAGGTCACAAAACAGGTCTTAAAATATTCAAAAACTGAAATGTTATCAAGCAGTGGGCCAATGAATAAATTAAGAAGAAAACTGAAAATTTCTTGAAACAAGTGATAATGGAAACATAGCATACCAAAACCTATAGGTTATTATAAAAGCAGGACTAAGAAGGAAGTTTATACCTATAAGTGGCTGTATCAAAAAACAAACAACAACAAAAAAAAATTCAAATAAACAACCTAACCACCTTGCATCTTAAAGAGCTAGAAAAGAGGAAATGAAACACTAAATTAGTAGGAAAAAAGACGTAATAAAGATCAGGGCAGAAATAAATGAATTGAAAATGAAGAAAATATAAAAGATCACTAAAACAAATGTTGGTTTATTTTTTTAAAAAAAAAGATAAAATTGACAAATCTTTAGACAGATTAACTTAAAAACAAAAAGTGAGAGAATATCCAAATAAATAAAATCAGAGAAGACAAAGGAAGGAGACATTTCAACCAATACTACAGAAACCCAAAGGATCATTAGTGGCTACTATGAGCAAATATATGCCAGTAGGTTGGAAAATCTAGAGGAAATGGAGAAATGCCTAGACACATACAACCTATCAAGAGTGAACCATGAAGAAATCTAACACCTGAACAAACCAATAACAAGTAATGAGACAAAAGGCGTAAGTCTCCCAGTAAAGAAAAACCTGGGACCGGATAGCTTCACTGCCAAATTCTACCAAACATTTAAAGAATAGTAATACCAATGCTATTCCAACTATTCCAAACAACAG